TACAACGAGCTGCTTCCCAAGTAGGTTTTGTGTTTAGCTTTTCAACTTAAATTTTTCTATCGTACATTGTGATGGAATGGTTAACTTTTGATTTTGATCTCTCTTTTTTCTTGATAAATTAGATTTTGATTTGGAATTATATGCTGAAATGTGATCACTAGCTGTGTAACGACTCGAGTCTCTATACCCAAGTCGTAAGCTTATGTAATGTTTGCTTTGGTTGGATCTATGCTCACTTGCCCCCTCTCGGCTTCTGTCGCGTTCCACATGATTCAAATTCTAGACCTCTACCTAATGAGAGACTTAAATTCAATGCTAGCACCAATTATGTTGATTGACACTTTCTTTCTATACGCAAGTCATTCCATTCAAGATCCAGGAGAGGACAAGAGGAAGAATCAAGGCATTCAGTCTTTCCAATTGAAGCTGAAAACCTTACGTTGACTGACACTTTCTTTCTATACGCAAGTCATTCCATTCTAGTTCCAGGAGAGGAGAAGCGGAAGAATCAAGGCATTCAGTCTTTCCTAGTCCCTCGTAAAAAGTCAAAGTACAAATTAGAAGCAAGTGGCTCATGTCTCTGTCTTTAGGTTTAGGGCTTCCACTTCAAGTTTCTGCCCATTCTTTTGATAGTATGTAAGCACTTGGCCTCTCTAGTGATTCCGATCAGACGAAGCTTTGATCAGCAAACTGACATCTATTTGCGGGATCGGTAGCAATGTGAAGGGAATACTCCCACCTCAGTAGATGACAACCTAGAGAGTTTCTTTCGTCGAATTCACCTCTTCCACGCCCAATCTTTCCAGACTATGGAGAATGTTTGTTTTTTCAATGATCAAGCAAAAGAAATATACTAATAGTAGGAATGTAAAATGAACTAGACAGCATCATCGTATGGGGAAGGATAAAGATGAGAAAGAATCACATTCCTCTGTCAAATATAATTTATTGATGCCAGGATTGAATTTAAGTCCCTCATTAGGCAGAGATCTTGAGTTCGAATCCTGAGAGACTTAGTGGGTATAAGCCCTCTCAAATCGGACAATATGTAAGCTAACGGCTTGGATATAGAGACTGTCCACTTATCCCGTCACGACTTAAGTGAATTCTGATACTAATTGAGTTCGAAGGACACGATAGAAAGTCATGAATGGATAAGTGGACATTTGCTCACCCAAAATAGACAGTACGTAGGACATCTTCCCGTCTTCATTACCTACTTTAGAATCACAACACACTACAGATAAGCTTAAATATACTTGAAATATTATTCACTACCTTAGAGTGCTTACATAACATATAGGACATGCAGATATCATGAGGGCATGCATTCATTGCACCCAGCTTGTTTACGTATTCCTCATTCTCAATTGTGACTTGTTCTTAGAGCTTCTCTTGTCAAATACTGTGTAGTGTACTTCCATGATGGTGGTTTTCTTACATAGGTTCAAAATCATGTGCAATTAAATTCTCCTGTATTTTCCACTTCAACGAATAATTATCCTAGTACAACTAAAATTTTTTGTTGAGTGATTGAGCTTGGGCTATGCTAAATTACAGGTGTGTGGCATCTGTCTTACCGACAATGTGATTGAGATTATCTTTCACGTATTTGACAAAAATCATGATGGAAGTTTAAGTGCGAGCGAGTTTGTAAGAGTTCTACAGAAGCGGGAAAGAGATATCGCACATCCCACAGAGGCAGGTATGTTAAGCTTTTTGTCCTGCTTTGGAGACTGTACAAAAACCTACTCTATTGCAAGGTTGTTATCCTGAACTTATAGCTGATAGAGTACTAATCCTAATGAATTTATAAAATTGGGATTGGGTCCCACTTTGTAATATGTCAGCATATAAAAGAGATTGTGAATGTTCTGAGATTATCTGCATTCCTAAGCATATTACTAAACAAGCAGTTGGTCAACAGAGATCCGTATGAGAAAAGTCAAGCTTTCAACTCCATTTGTTCATGTATTAAGCGGAAAATTTCAGTCTTCATATCGAAGAAAATAATTATATAAACGCAAGGAATTTGACTTGGACAAACAGGTCTTAAAAGGAGGCGCGAATATGCGTTTTCTTTACAAAACTGAACCCTTTTGGGTCCTTCCAAGATTTGTTTTGCATGTGGAGCTCCAGATAAGAATCGGGCTGTCTTTCCCACCACTTGTTCCTGGCGCCACCAACTTTCTTTTGTATCGTGCGCGTACGCGCTACTCCAGCCTGTTAATTAGCAATTACAAAAAATTTAAAATACCTATCCATGATGCTTCTATAACAAAAACGTTAATTACGCGTTGGGCTTTTAACTGTGTTTTTAACTAAGTGTACGTTTGATTGTCAATTTTTTAATGAAAAATGTGTTTTTCACCTAATTTTTTACTTTTGTGCAGTTTGATTTACAATTTTTTTACGAATATATTTTTATACTTTTGATCACGTGACTAGATTTTCGTTAAAAACAATGAAAATATTATCTTTGGAGAGACGTGATTTTTATTTTTCAGGTAATTCACTGTCTCTCTCTCTCTTATCTGTTCACTTTCTTTCATATACACACCAATAAAAAATAGACAAGTATAATATTTTTTATGTTGAAAACTAAATCAATCAAACACATTTAATTAATAATTTTCATACAAATAAATTCTAGACAATTGAATTGTCTAAAATTATTTTCTTTCCATATAAATTCTATGCTCGTAACCAAAAGCACCCTAATCACTTTTTAGATTTTGTTGATGAATATTTGATTGGATCATAATTTAGAAGTTTAGCAAAAATAATTTTCTTTTGGAAAATGCAACTTAACAATTTTGAAATTGATTTTAAAAAATAAAAATATAAAATTGTGAAATTGCAATGTCACGAATTCAAATTTCAAATTTCTAGGTTATTTTCTATATTATTCTTTGGTATTTGAGAAAACATGAAATCTAATTATTGCGATTTATAATTAAATACCAAGTAATGCCAAAAATATGAAAAGTTGTATTCAACCATAACAAATGTGAGTTTGTTTAGTATATTGACCTATTATTTTACAACAAATCTTAAAGAATTTTGAACAAAATCTTCTTTATCCCTGTTTGGTTCAACTAGAAAAGTAGATTAAAATTTAAGTCAAAATTAATAATAAATTTTAAGCACATTTTCATGAGATTAAAAATTTTTCAACCACGCATTTCATCAATTTTTATTAAAATTTACTAAAAATCTGATTTTTATATAAATCAAACAGGGGCTTAAATTTCAATACATTTTATTTTACACCAGAATCTATTAAAAGTTCTATACATTCTTCTAAGGCAGTGTTTTGCAAACTTTTCTAGGGAATATTTTTCCCACTTTATGACTGTTTGATTAGCAAGATTTTTCTTGGAAAATGTTTTCCTCTCCCTTCACCCACGCGCCTGTTTTGTGTTTTCCTGGAAATATGGGCAAATGTTTTCTTGTTGTTTTTGTGGGTTTTGGTTTTCCAGGTTTAGCTTTTTTTTATTTTTTTTTATTTTTGTGCAATTTGAAAAAATTCTAGACACAATGGTAAAAAAAATTTCACTTTTATTGACAATTTCCATACAAAACAAAATCAAACAAATGATATTCGGGACGATAAAATTTTTTTTTTTACAATTGGAACAAATTTTAGACCAAATGATAGAAAAATTATCATTTTAATGAACAATTTTCATAAAAAACTAAATCAAATGGATACCAAACTTTCAACATTTTTCAGGTGGAAAATAATACCAATCAAACACAATTAATTGCAATTCCCAATAAAATAATTTCTAGACAATTTAATTTCCTATAAAATATTTTCTTTCCACTCATTTTCACATTTGCAATAAAAAGGATCCTAAATATCAGTCTTAAGGAACAAAAATAAAATTAAGGCACCGTTTGGTAACCATTATTCTAGAAAAAAATGCATTCTTTGTGTCAAATCACACTTTTTTTGTGGTTGAAAATGAAGGAAAAGTTATTGATGTGATGAAAAATATTATTTTATTGATTATCACTTTAATGGACAATTTCATAAAAACTAAATCAAACGGATACCAAACTTTCAACATTTTTCAGGTGGAAAATAATACCAATCAAACTCAATTAATTACAATTTCCAGTAAAGTAATTTTTAGGCAATTCAATTCCCTGTAAAATATTTTCTTTCCACTCATTTTCATATTTGCAATCAAACGGACCATAAATGTCAAAGCCTTAAGGAACAAAAATAAAATTAAATAGAAAAAATAAATGCGTGAAGAGACGCGCTATAATTGAGAATGGGGGTTACGGCGTGATTGCGGACCCGTTGACGTTGTGTTCAAACAAAATCAGCAAATATGGAATTTCGAAACCCTAGAGAAACATTTCTCAGAACAAAAATTCTCCTTTTTCCATTTCCCCAAAATTCTTCAGCTTTCTTGAGCTGCCATACTTCAAAAAAAAAAAGAAAAAGGAAAAAATATTTTTTCATTTGATTATTGTTTCTAGATAATTCATAGCTACAAAATTTACGTCCCTTAATTTAATTTTCAAATTTGTCTCCGTATTCGGGTCAAATTAATCATATTTGAGCTCTACGATAATCATTGGCTGCTTCGGTTGGGAGAAATTCAAAAAGAGACTGAAGGTAAGCATTTCTTTTTGTTTCAGTTTTTTATGAATTCTTTATGGGTTTATAAAACTGGGTTCAGGGTTTCTACTAGAAGTTTTTATTGATTCTTTTTGCTTAGCTGCCTATATTTCTGCGGTGGGATTTTATTTGAAGTAATATTTGGAGCTTTTGGAGTTTTGACTTTTGTTGGATTTATACATATTTGGATCGACGTTTTAAGAGTTTATGCATGACTGAATAAAATTTTGAGCCGTGTTTATTTTTCATAGTTCGATTTCAGGTTTTGATTTGTGTTTTTTATTCATTTGATGTTTAGTGAGTTGACTTTTGTGTAAAGTGCGAATCAGAGTGATTTTGGGCTTTCTGTTGGAGTAAGAATATGGGGAAGCCTGCTGGGAAGAAGAAAATTCAAATTGGATCAAAATCCATTGACGGAAATGCGAAACAAACCAAAGCTCAGGATCGTAACTCGAAAGCATTTGATGAAGACACTGCTATATTCATTAACATGTCCCAAGAGTTGAAGGAAGAAGGCAACAAACTGTTTCAAAAACGTGATCACGAGGGTGCTATGTTGAAGTACGAAAAGGCCCTCAAATTGCTCCCTTTTAATCACATTGATGTTGCGTATCTGCGTAGCAACATGGCAGGTTGCTACATGCAAATGGGTATTGGTGAGTACCCGAGAGCAATAAACCAGTGCAATTTGGCACTTCAAGTTGCTCCCAAGTATAGCAAGGCATTATTGAAGAGGGCAAGGTGTTACGAGGCCTTGAATAGGCTTGATTTGGCACTGAGAGATGTTAATAATGTGTTGAGCATGGAACCAAATAATTTGAACGCAATGGATATTGCAGATAAGGTGAAAAAGGCGATTGAGGAAAGGGGTCTAAAAATTGAAGAAAAAGAAATAGGTTTGCCCCCTGACCATGCTAAGCCTCATCAAGCCTCGATTTCTGATAAGGTTGTCAAAGAAAAGACAAAAAGGAGGAAAAACAGTAAGTTTGAAAAGAGAAGTGTCGGGGAAGAACCTGAGGAAAAGAAAGTCGATGAAGTTGAGGAAAAGGAAGTCGATCAAGTCGAGGAAAAGGAAGTCGATCAAGTCGAGGAAAAGAAAGTCGATGAAATCGAGGAAAAGAAGGCTGAGGATAAGGTGGTTGTCGAAGAGAAGAGAAGTGTTAAGGAAGAGAAAGTCGTCATGAAGACTGTGAAATTGATTCATGGAGAGGATATAAGATGGGCTCAGCTACCTGTTAGTTGTAACATTAAACTTGTGAGGGATGTAGTTTTGGACCGATTTCCAACTTTGGAGGGTGTACTTATCAAGTACAAGGATCAAGAAGGTGATTTAGTTACAATCACAACAAATGATGAGCTGAGATTGGCGGAAGTATCAGCTGATCCTACTGGTTTTCTGAGACTGCACATTGCGGAAGTTAGTCCCAATAAAGAACCACTTTATGAGGGAATGAGCTGTGAAGAGAAAATGCAACAAACCAATGGGAAACCAACTACTTTTAGAGAAAACAATAACATGGAGAAAGGGCTGACCTGTGTTGAGGACTGGATTTTCCAGTTTGCGAGGCTTTTCAAGAATCATGTTGGGTTTGATTGTGATTCATACTTAGATCTTCATGAAATAGGGATGAAGTTATACTCAGAAGCAATGGACGACACTGTTACAAGTGACGATGCACAAAAACTCTTTGAAATTGCTGCAACGAAGTTCCAAGAGATGGCCGCTTTAGCATTGTTTAATTGGGGAAATGTCCACATGTCTAGGGCGGGGAAAAGGGTGTCTTTTACAGAAGACAGTTCTGGGGAGTCAGTCTTAGCTCAAGTCAAAACGGCATACGATTGGGCGCAAAAGGAATATGTGAAAGCCGGAATGAGGTATGAAGAAGCTCTAAAAATAAAACCAGACTTCTATGAAGGTCTTCTTGCACTTGGGCTGCAGCAATTTGAACAAGCAAAGCTCTCTTGGTATTATATAATTGGGAGCAAGGTTGATTTAGAGATGGGGCAATCTTCGCAGGTCTTAGAGCTATTCAATAAGGCCGAGGATAGCATGGAGAGAGGCATGCAGATTTGGGAAGAGATAGAGGAACAGCGTCTTAATGGACTGTCCAAATCGGAAAAACAGAGAGCTGAATTGCAGAAATTAGGGTTGGATGGGCTTTTTAAAGACATATCGCCTGATGAAGCTGCAGAACAGGCTGCCAGTATGAGGTCTCAGTTATACCTTCTATGGGGTACTTTGCTGTATGAACGTTCTGTTGTGGAATTTAAATTAGGTTTACCAACCTGGGAAGAATGCCTGGAGGTTGCAGTTGAAAAATTTGGACTTGCTGGAGCATCAGCTACAGATATTGCCGTTATGGTCAAGAATCATTGTTCGAATGCAACTGCTTTAGAAGGTAGATATTAACAATTTATTTTGTTTTTTCCTTTTGATTTACTATATATACTTTTATTTTTTTCTATGAATATATTGGGATCTAATATTTATTACCATTTTTTAACTGCTGCAACATTAGGTTTCAAAGTTGATGAGATAGTACAGGCATGGAATGACATGTATGATGCAGATAGGTGGCGAACTCGCGCTGCATCTTTTCGCCTAGAACCGTTGATCAGGCGGCGAACTCCCAAACTTCACTCTATTTTGGAGCATCTTTAAGTTATCTTGCTAAAGATTGGCAATTCAATAGGGAAAATATTGGTATTACTTCTTCGCTGTTCAACTATTATAAAATTCTTTATTCACTGCATTTTTCTTTATCAAATTGATCTGGAGCTTGATCTTTCTCAAGTATTCTGAATAAAAAAAAAAAAATAATAATAATAAACCATGTGATTGAAATAACATCACTTTTCCATGAACAATAGGAAAATCGTGTATTATCTTTAAAACTAGTTAGGCAACAAAAATATTGAATTTCTTAAGAATAGAAATAAGTAATCAAATGAATTCTCATTCTTTTGGTTCTCTGTTCAAATCTCTTGCTGTGTGGAAGAATGGGTAATGTGATAAGCATGAAGTGCGATTACGTAAATTTGATAAAGATGAATCGTGATAGCCTTTATCACTCATGTTACTACACAAAGACTAAAGATATTGAATTATCTACAATGTAATGTAATGATAAATGTATCTATTCATCTTCTTGTTAATAGAAATATTCAATTGCATAGTCCCGTATGTAGATTTATAGTATCTGTATAATTTTGAACTTATTTCAAGTTTTTCTCTCTATCTCCATTCTTATGGTAAACTTCTGATTCTGTTGTGGTGACTTCTATAATTGATTTCTTAGAAAAACCATGGTATTAGAGAGGGAGAGAGATTACTTTGCAGGAACTTGGGCTTATGATCTCGTAAGTGTAATTGTTGTAAGCAGAATGAGTTTGGATTTCTGCTAAGATGCTTCTTGCTCTGATAGTACCTTTTGGGTCAGACAAGGGAAAGGTAGATTTTCCTAAGAAACCCGAGACATTTTACTTCCCATGGTTATTGGAAAGTCTGACTGGAATTTTCACCAAAACACTGAGACAACACCCCCTCATTGACGTCAAAACATTCCAGCTCAAGATTTCTGTTCAGTCTCCCGAAGTATGTTCTTGATTGTAATAGTTCAGACTATGTTTGGCTATTATTCTCCAGATTCTCATTGTCGAATTAATCGTCAGTTCTCTAAGAGAGTTTAGGTATCGAATAAATGCTTAAGTAGATGACCCCAAATTTATGTCAGACTTGCAATGGTATTTGCATGCTTGCCATGTGTACAAGTTTATACATCTGATTTTCGTTCTTCATGTGCACTCTTTTTTTCTCTCTTTCTTTGATAGTGTCGAGTGCATTTAGAGAAACCCAGGAACAAATTGTTATACTGATGTAATTTGTTAGAATACACTTCTCCATTGTATACCTGTTTCATCTACTGAATCACTGTCCTCGCGTTCTTGCAGGTTTCTTCATAGGTAAATTTGTTTTGGTTGCTTGCTTATGGAAGCAAACAACGATTTCATCATCCGAGTGTTGCATTTTGGGTCGTATTGCTCGTGATTTAGTTGCAAAGCTTTTTATATTATTATTTTTCTCCAGTCGACGATTTTCTCAAAGGCTGAGGAAGTCTCAGTATTACAAAATGAAATTGATATTACAGTTGATTTTGTAAAGGTTTTGTGAGGGCTATTGGATTTACAGTCTGCATATTTGTTTGCCCGCTTGTTTTTTATAGTGCGAAAAGTATGATTTTTTTTTTTTTGCCTTTGTCGCATTTGTTGAAATTAGTTGTCCATTTTATTATGATGATTATAAGAAAAATGACCCCCTTTGAAGATCGAAATAACATGACTTTATCGTGAGAATTGCAATATATAAGGATTGGGAGTAACTTTTTGTGTTCAAATTTTGTTGTTTTGATTTATAATTTGGAGGGGTATTATGATTTTAATAAGACCTGAGGACTGAATCGAAAAATAATTAAAGAAAAGTAAAAAATACATGTTAGTTAACGCTGTTTATAAAAGATAAAATTAAACACAATCAAGGAAAAATTTAAGAGTAATTAGCAAATGACGTCCCCACCTTTCATTGTTATTGTGGAAAACGTTTACATCTTTCAATTTTTGGCATTTTCACTATTATTTTCACCTTTCACTGCATTTTTATCCATTTCCTCAATTTAAAATTGTGAAATGACGAAAATACCATTTCCTTTAAATAAAATAAAAGGAAAAAGAAAAAAATTAATTGTAAACATAGTCCCAATTGTTTTGAAAAGCGCAAATGAATCTTAAATAAATTACTAAATGAGTAATTAGCATATAATGTCCACCTTTCACTATTATTGCAAAAAACGTCCATACCTTTTTTTTTGACATTTTCTCCATTAATTATAATTTGATAGCGCAAATCATTATTTGTATTCATTTTCATTCAATTTCTCAATAAAAAATAGTGGGATGACGAATATACCTTCATATTTAAATAAAAAAATAAAGAATTAATTACAATCATTGTCCTTTTTTTAAAAAAAGGTACAAACGAGTCCCAATTAAATTTATTTAAAAATTAAAAAAAATTAAAAAGTGCAAATGAGTTCCAAATAAATTATTAAAGAATTAGAAATTAAAAAATATATATTTTATTTAAATATGAAGGTATATTCATTATTTCGCGGTTCTTTATTGAAAAAATGGATATAAATAATGGTTTGCGCTATCAAAATATAATTAATGGAGAAAATGCTATAAAAATAAGACATATAGATTTTTTTTTTGTGAGGGCTATTGGATTTACAGTTTGCATATTTGTTTGCCCGCTTGTTTTTTATAGTGCGAAAAGTATGATTTTTTTTTTTTGCCTTTGTCGCATTTGGTGAAATTAGTTGTCCATTTTATTATGATGATTAGAAGAAAAATGACCCCCTTTGGAGATCGAAATAACACGACTTTATCGTGATTATATAAGGTTGGGAATAACTTTTTGTGTTCAAATTTTGTTGTTTTGATTTATAATTTGGTGGGGGTATTATGATTTTAATAAGACCTGAGGACTGAATCGAAAAGAATTAAAGAAAAGTAAAAAATACATGTTAGTTAACGCTGTTTATAAAAGATAAAATTAAACACAATTAAGGAAAAATTTAAGGGTAATTAGCACATAACGTTCTCACCTTTCACTGTTATTATAGAAAATGTCCACATCTTTCATTTTTTTTTTTTTTTGCATTTTCACCATTATTTTCACGTTTCATTGCATTTTTATCCATTTCCTCAATTTAAAATTGTAAAATGATGAAAATACCATTTCCTTTAAATAAAACAAAAGGAAAAAGAAAAAATTAATTGCAAACATAGTCCCAATTTTTTTGAAAAGCGCAAATGAATCTCAAATAAATTACCAAATGAGTAATTAGCACAAAAGGTAATGTCTACCTTTCACTATTATTGCAAAAAACGTCCATACCTTTTTTTTTGACATTTTTTCCATTAATTATAACTTGATAGCGCAAACCACCATTTGTATCAATTTTCATTCAATTTCTCAATTAAAAACAGTGGGATGACAAATATACCCTCATATTTAAATAAAAAGGTTAAAGAATTAATTGCAATCATTGTCTTTTTTTTTAAAAAAAGGTACAAACGAGTCCCAATTAAATTTATTTAAAAATTTAAAAACAATTAAAAAGTGCAAATGAGTTTCAAATAAATTATTAAAAAATTAGAAATTAAAAAATATATATTTTATTTAAATATAAAGGTATATTCATTAATTCACGGTTTTTTATTGAAAAAATGGATATAAATGATGGTTTGCGCTATCAAAATATAATTAATGGAGAAAATGCTATAAAAATAAGACATATAGATTTTTTTTTTGTAATAATAGTGAAATGTAGGGACATTATGTGCTAATTACCCTTTTAATAATTTATTTGAGACTCATTTGCGCTTTTCAAAAAAATTGGGACTATGTTTGCAATTATTTTTTTTTTAAAGGAAGTGATATTTTCGTTATTTCAAAATTTTTAATTGGGAAAATGAATGTAAATGACCTTTTGCGCAATGAAAGATAGAAATAAGAGTGAAAATGTCAAAAGATAAATTGTATGAATGCTTTCCATAATAAGAATGAAAGGTGGACGGCTAATTACCCAAAATTTAATTATAAACTCCTTCAATTTACTTATCGTCACCGTCACGTCGACTCCATCCAATAAAGATGCACCGCAGTGTAGTATATAATAACTTGCTCAGATGCGAAAAGAAACAAAAAACGAAAAAGAAAGATGCTTTTCCTTGCCCACTTTGTCTTAGTCAGAATTTAATCCATATATACAAAGCAGATTAATCACACCATTTTCTACAATACTGAGAAAGAGCGATAATTATTCAAGCTATTGGAAAAATGGATAAAATCAGAAGAGCATCTCACGCCGGTTCTTGGTACACCGACAATCGTAAGTCCCACAAATTTAGTTTCATGAAATTTCACCGCATTATATTCTACTTTGATCTTTAAACTTCAAAATTACTTGTTGTTCATCATACTCTGTGAATTTTCCTTTTTGATTTTATCTCTTGAGAAGTTTTGACTGTAATTATAATTTACTTAAGTTTATAGTTTGGATATTTTTTCTGGAAAAAAAATTAGATTTTTTATTCGGGAGATTGTTACTGTAAGTTTATTAGGATTTTTAATTTGGGTGTTATATAATTAAATTTTATTCTCTTAATTACTTTTCGTAGGATTGCAAAATTATGCCTGGTGTCTACCAGTTATCATTTTTCTAGGAAATAATGGTCTGTCTGGCATTTGCAATGGAATGCATGAGTGTGTTTGAGGGGTGTAAGAATTAGTTTATAGATAGTGTGGATTCATGTACAAGACAATTTAACACTGCTTATGTACTGTATAATGTAAACTTAATTTAGAAGAAAGGTTAATGCTGCCTTATGTGTATTCATCAGCTAAGAAATTATCTGAAGAGCTAGATGGGTGGCTGAGTGAAGCTGGGTTGGCTAAGTCTTCCGATGTAAGAGGGGTAATTGCGCCGTAAGTCACCAAAAATCCCTGTGGTTACTTTGCTACAAATGTAACAATTCTGACACTAGTATATCTGGTGGTGTTTATCCCACTAGTCATGCAGGTTATTCATATTCTGGTCGTGCAGCAGCCTATGCATTTGGAAACATAGATCCTGCAAACATGTGGGTTTTTTCTCAGTAAACTTGAAGCTCACTTTTCATTCAAAATTATATTATCTAAAATGAAGTAGTGATGGTTCGCTAATTTGCTTGTTGACTCTTGAATGAATAAATTTAACTGCTCAGCCAATTTGTAAGGAATTCTTTGTTTGCAGCTCTAGGGTGTTTCTTCTTGGTCCATCTCATCACCATTACACTCTAAAATGTGCACTTTCAAGAGCCACGGTTTACAAGACTCCAATAGGTGACTTATCTATTGATCTTGAAGGTATTATAAAATTCATTTTCTTTCATTTCTTAAGCTATTTTGCAGCAACGAGCACTCATATAATGTCTTCTTGATATATATGATCTACAAGACTTTAGAAGTAACACACACTCTTCCTGGTCAAAGGAAATACGATTATAGAAGGATAACTTTGTCAATAAAAGAGTAAGAATAGAAAAGAAAAGGTTTCACTGGTTTTCTATATTCATTTGCTTTGAATTATAAACCTCTTATCCGAAGTTGCACTAGATACCATAGAAGACTTGAATCATGATTCTAGATAAGCTTTTAGTGTGAGATTGTTATTTACCATGATAATTGTTAAATCTTAATATCGGTGTCAAATGACTACCTAAATGAATTGAGCAATTGCATGGATACCACTAATTGCACGGATGAAGACAGTGACAATGGAATTGCATCAATAGTATTTCTTCTTGTGAGATAAATCAATATTAATGATGGAAGAGAGTGACTATCCGCTTCTATAGGTTCAAAGAACTAAATCCTTGTCAATATAATGTAGTTCAATGAAATATTTTTCTCATAAAAGGAAGTAGAAGATGAAGCATTAAACTAGCCTTAAGAAGTGGAATAGACTGTATTTGATTGATCGTGTTTATGATATTATGCTAATGCACATACGTCACCTGCTTTCTTATCATGACAGTTACCACATGTTGCACATGGGTTGTTTTCTAGGTCTTTTTTTGGGTGGATGGGGGCATGGGAGGCCGGAATTGGAGGATTAGAATAAGGTTCTTTTTGGTAGAGAAAAAAAATATCATTTTATGCAAATTATTTCCATGCAATCTGCAAATTGCAAAACTGTCTTGAGAGCTTTCCAGTTTGCTTCCTTAAGCCCTTGTTTGATCCCCGTTTTTTCTAAAATACATTTTTTACTCTCTTCTTTTCAACCACACATTCTTCAATAAAATAATATTACACGCAAACTCAATATTTTTCCTTATTTTTTAAACACATATTTTCCATCAATCTACTATTCTAAAATGCATTCTACACAAAAAATAGAGCTCAAACAAGTGATAAATCTCGTAAAGTTTTAGCATATGTTTCAATAGACCAGCATTTTGCTGATTACCGCTGCACAATGTTCATTTATAGCATTGCATATTCTATTTGATCTGAAAAATTATCACTGGTTGTCCTTCACAATGCCATTTTTATGCATCTGTGTATCCACATGCATGCATGTATTGATGTAACTTTTTTTTTTTGTGTGTGTGATGTATTCACGATATTTGTTTCTAAAAATTCTTTTCATCCGTGCTTGGCCTTGTGCCAGTCAATGAGGAGCTAAAAGCCACAGGGAAATTTGAATTGATGGATCTTCATGTTGATGAAGCTGAACATAGCATGGAAATGCACCTGCCTTATCTTGCTAAAATTTTTCAGGGGTATGTTTTGTTGAATCTAAATTTAATTCTTTTTTATCTTTCACTAAAGCCAATATGCTGCATATATTAATATAGGTATCCTATAAAGATTGTTCCTATTTTGGTTGGTGCTCTTGATGCTGAAAATGAAGCCACATATGGACGATTGCTAGCGAAATATGTGGATGATCCCAGTAATTTTTTTTCAGTGTCCTCAGATTTTTGTCATTGGGGCGCTAGGTATGTTCTACTCTATGCTACAAAATATGGTTAGAAATTCTATCAAATATTGTTTATTCTCATTTTTAATAGACTCATCAAATAATGATCCTCTGCATTCATTGTTTCACTTATTATAAATGTAGCTTTTGGATTGTTTTGATTCAATCCATGGCATGCATAATATTTTTCGTAACTATTTTAACTAGAAATTTAGGCTAAATGATTTTATTCGTAAACAATCAACTATATATATATATATATATATATATTTATTTATTTATTTATTTATTTTTTAATGACCGTGGATATCCGGGCCAGCTTGCGCGCATCTCGACTAATTCCACGGGACCTTGAAATTTATGACATGATACTCACCTCAGTGGGGACTCGAACTGGTGACCATTTTCCGGGCCAGCTTGAGCGCACCTCGACTAATTCCACGGGACCTTGAAATTTATGGCATGATACTCACCTCAGTGGTCCTAAGGGGAGTCGAACTGGTGACCATTGGGGAGCAAACTCAAGGCCTGACCAATTCAGCAACCCTTCAGGGTTTATTTTATAATAGTACAATCCAACCTATGAAATGAAATAAAACAATATTCCTAAATATAGATGGAAAAAAAACCAAAAATAACATTACCATAATACCTAGTTAAACTAGAATATAAATGTAAATAGAAAATAAGTTAAAATATATTTTCTATATATAATTGTTTCTATTCCAACTCTCCCCTCAAGTTGGTGCATCGATATCAACACATGCCCAACTTGGATGGTGATGTATGGAATGACCCACCACTTGAAAACCTTTGCTCGATTTTGATTGCTACTCCCAAGTATCGTTCTCTTGGTTAGATGGTCAGGAATGAGAAGTTACTTGAGATACATGAGAAATATGATCAGCAGCAAAAGATCGAAGCTCATCCACAGACAGCATGCCCAAGAGGGTTGAAAGATCTTAGAACACAACCGAGGCCAATGATCTGTCACTGTGTCACATACCTAATGTCTAGATCGACCAACGTGAAGGTTAGGTCACTGGATGGGTTTCGACAGCTGCAGGTAGAGTAGAAGGGTCGCACAAACTCTTTAATGCATACCAGATAGCTGGGTTGACTGAGATGAAGAGTCAAACTTCTTTGAGAAGGCAACTGGAGGGTCGCAACAATAAAACTTGCCACAAATAGAAACTTCAGTGATTAACTTGCGCCAATTTGAAAGTTCAGGAACTGAATTTAATTTTTCAAAATGTTTAGGGACTAACTTGAAATTTAGGCTCAATGATTTTATTCATAGACAATCAACTCTATTTATAATAGGACAACCTAACCCAAGAAAGGAAAGAAAAGAATATTCTTAACTATAGAAGAAAATGGATAATGAAACAATAAATGCTACCATAATTCCTAGTTAAACTATCATACAAAAATAAATAGAAAATAAATTAAATTAGACTTCTATTCCAACTATTTACGTGATTTCTATACGAAACTATTGGTTGACGATATATCTTTTCTCATAGTTTTATTGATTTTGCACCTTTTGAAAATTATCAACAGAATTTTCTAGGCATGAAATAAAGAAATGAAGCCATTTAACAATCCAAATTTCAACCTTAGGAAAAAAGAAACCGAAGAAAGTCCATAATAGATCTGTTAGTAGAGGTAAATACACGATCTGTTAACAATTTATCACGGACTTGGCTCTTCCGAGCACCCACGTAGCACTTAGTTCCTCAATTCCTTTCGATACGGTCTTTAGTTAAGTCAACCTCCTTCAATTGGCGGTTCTAGCAACAAGATCTGATGGGTATTTTAATTGGGGCAGTCTTCAACATGCATGGCAAGGGAAAAGTAGTGCGAAGCAAATCTTTTGGTGGAGTAGGCAATGTCAGAGAAGCCGCCTACTATGGGTTGCAACTTGCACGGATGGGGTTCCTCAAATGATGCAGAGCCTATTGATTTTGGATCTGGTGTTGAGATATGAAAGAATGTGTGGAGAAACAAATAGTGGTGGTGGAGGACTGTATAATAATTTTTTAGTAATCAACCATCAAATAGCATCAGATCGTTACAAAAGTAAGTTGATTGACCGTATTTAATCCTTCCTTATTGACGTTAGAAAAACATTACAGGTGTGACATAACTATCCTTACATATTATGCTTTTTCTACAATTATGCACTTATTCAGTTAGCGGACTTGTTTTAATTATTCCTTCGTGAAATACGTCATTGAACATTTATACTTTCACCTTCTTTTTCTCTTGCTAGGTTCAACTACTTGCATTATGACAAAAAACATGGAGCGATCTACAAGTCCATAGAGGCATTGGATCGAATGGGGATGGAGATAATCGAAACGGGAGATCCAGACGAATTTAAACAGTATCTATTGAAGACAGACAATACAATTTGTGGACGCCATCCTATTAGTGTTTTTCTTCATGTAAATATCTTAAACTTCCCTACTTTCTAGCGCATGAGTAGAAAAGACTTCTTTGCTTCTGAATTTTAGCTGTAAGTAGAACTTAATGAAATTTGAGACGAGTTTGCTTCCTCTTGCAATCCACTTCTTCCTGTACTGTTAAATGCTTCAATAGCTTAAATAGAAGTCTGAAAATTTTAAAAAAGGATTCTAAAGCTCAAATCTTTTAGCTTTAGGGAGATGGTTTATCACTTCTTTTTCTTTCTTTTTATAAATTTAGGGAGGGTTTTGCAGATAAGTTCCTTTTGAGAGTTTGGCTGGTTCCATAAATTTAGTATTTTGTGATTTATTATACATATATCTCTATAAATGCACACTTGTTTGTGTATGAGAATGAATCTCTCTCCCCACACATATGCACCCACACACAAACATACGTACCAAATATAGATGTGTGTATAGTTCCATGCATCGTCTGTATCTGGTGAGATTTCTAGCGTTGCATCATATATCATGTTCTCTAGTGGCATTTCATGTGTAGAATATGTACAAGACTTCAACTTCTTTTTCTTTCTTAATAGTGTTTTTCTGTGTTCATTTCTCCCTACTGAAATGCCATTTTATTTTGGTTTGATTTTCTAACCACGTTTCATCTTTCAAATTTGATTAGATGTTGAAGAATACCACAAAGAAGATAAAAATCCGGTTCCTTCGATACGAACAGTCAAGTCAGTGCAAAAGCACAAGAGACAGCAGTGTAAGTTACGCATCCGCAGCGGCGAAAATTGATGCCTGAATTTGTGTAGGGAACACAATGTTTTACTTTTTCTTAAGGATATCATTTCAATGCAATCTAACTGGCTGTAATTTCTAATCTTTATTTACTGCCTCTGGAAATAACAAACCTTATTGTGTGTTGTTCCCTATTAAAGTTATCACTGGTGATGGAATTCTCCAAGTTCTCTCTTTGGCTGTTCAAATAAAAAGACTCATTTAATTTTGGGTTCTCTTTGAAGTGTGAAGAATTGATTGTCTAATCATAATTTTACTAGAGGGAAGACTTCAACTTGGCCGGTCGATCAATATTGCCTCAACTTACTAGAGTTTAGTTGCTTTGTAGAGCCTATTTTCTGCGAACAAGAATTCAGATTTTTTAGTACACTTTCCATTCTGATGTATTGGGTGTTGGCCTTCCATTTGACATGGTCAATCTGAGAAGTAGCACGAGTTCTTATTTTCAAGTGTAATCGATGTGGAATTTATCGGTTACCAGGTGGAGTTGATGCTTTGTTTAGTATATTTTGATATTTCAAGGTCAACGAGTATGTCTTATCAAATTGGGTTGATTTGCCATGTTAAGCAATGTTTTCAAGTGAACGTGTCCACTCACCCAAATATCTCTCTAACTACGGCAACTTGCCATAACAATATTATTAATTAAGAGATCAAATCAACTCAAAAATTTAACTCAGAATTTTTTCAAGTATAGCTAAAAATGCATTCCATTGTAGCAAAACAGTTGAATTTGAGAACAACAAAATCAATCCAAACTGAAAATCTCTTTATACCGCTCTCTCAAACTCCAACGTTTGTGTCTACACAACCAGTTCTTGAACAGTTGAACGCATCATCAATTTCCTGATATCTTAGGACATGTTAAGGTGCAAGCACTTTTCTCTCTCGCTAAACCTGTCCAATATTGTCCAATCGAACCTACCAAACATGCCCTTAATTTTCAACCTGTAGGGGCGCAGTCCATGCACCTTCAGAGTCCATGGGTTCAATGACGACGACTCCACCATCTGATAACCCTAAGGCAATCTGGTTTGCCTTTTGTGGATGAGCGGCAACCACCAGTGGATATACATGAGTTCTGCATCCACCATAACAAGCATTAAATTAAGCACCCTTAACATGAGCGAATGCAAACACACACAAAGTTGGATCACTGATGCTAAAGAATATGAATTCTGCCAAAATTTATGACAAATTGGCGAAGAAAATTACACTTTTTGCTTGTCAAGAAAGCAAAACTGGAGCTTGTATCTCACTTTGTCAAAATCTATGGTGGATATGGATATCGATACAATCTCATCTTGTGTTCAACTCCAGGTTAAAAGTTACTCAATATTGGGTGAAAATGCAGTTGAGCTCCATTTGTTTTATACGAAAATAGATTTATAAGAAACAAAATTCAGGAAAATATGTATTGGTATAGAAGGATGTTGTCCATATTTTCCATCCCCCTTTTCTTTCTGTTTTCCTGTGAAACAAACATAACTAGATAGTCCTTTTGTCTGTAATTGCCAAAACTAATTAATTTTCTCTAGACATTTTTGTGAGCAAGACTTCACTATGGACATGCAGTGCACACATTGGCTGGAGAAAGAGGTGTGACTAAAAACCATGAATTATGCAACTAAACCATTGATACAGCATTGATGTTTATAAATTGTTAGTTGAGTCAAACGCATAAAAGTACCTGATATGCGGTGGAAGGTACGCAGAGGGATCAATCTCAAATCTTGGAACGAGATCTGAAGCACCGAGTATCAGAACGATTCCATCCCTCATGACAGCATATAACAATTCAGCATCACAAGAAAAAGCAGCATGGGCAATCCGTGCACAGAAGTTTCCAACGACCCACTGAAATTATAGCCAACATAAATTGTGAAGTCACGCGTATGACAACATTGAAGCCCTTTTCATTTAAACGTGTCTGAGAGAGGGAAATACCTGCTTAACACATTGTAGCTTTGTTGTTTCGTATATTGCAAGTTGAGTCTCATGTACAGCAAGAAAGTGTCTTTCATCCTTGTCAAATTGGACATGAGTCTCTGATAGTTCTGATGGTAACCAGCCGGTGGAAATCTCTAAAAATGTGTTATTCTTTTTCTCCCACGTGACTGAATCCCACACAACAATCTGCGGAACGATGGAGGAAAATTAGATTGTTGTATGTTTATGACAACAATCTTAAAGTTATCAACCACGAAATCAACTCATATTTATGTTACGTAGCGAATCTTGAACCGATCTGTAACCAAAAAGTCAATCAATTGTATCTCTCTATGTCAAGATTGATAACAGATTTATTTTCAAACATGGAAAATGTAGTATTCATATTTCATAGGACTGTTAAAATAAACAAGATTTTAATTTCTTTTTCTTTCTTCGTACAATCTAGTGCTATACAATCATACCTATCTTGTTTCTTTTTCTTTCTTCATAGTGCTATACAATCCTACTACCAAGCATGCCAATATCGTCTGAATAATAATATATATTTGACAATCTGAGCTCAATTAAGCTGGTAAATAAATTATTATACCTGAAAACATTAATTGATTTATATTCAAAGGAGGAATCTGGCTGTCCTGCACGATCAACCAATGGACTACATAGAAATACTAACCTGAGCATCCAATCCAGAAGAGACGAGTACATTTAACACGGTCGAGAAAGAAAGGCTGCTAATTCTCTTAGTGTGGCCCTTAAGCTTATTTATCATCTGCAAAATGAAGGCAATGGCTAGATGCTGCATGTTTCTTCTTAATCATTTTAATTTTTAACTCTAATATAAGTGTATGTAGGACACATATATCGTACCTCATCCACACGGACATTATAGATGAGAATTGTTGAATCATCCATTCCAATAGCAATTATGTTGTTATCTGGTGGATAGAAAACAATACATGTTGCTGCAGGTGGAGATTGCATGAAACTTCTCATTCTCTACAGTAATCGAGCAAATTGGAAATGGTAGGTTAGATTTTTCTATATGTCAAGCATCTCAAAGTAAAATGATACGAGAGCTCTAAGTTAGGTGCTACCCCGTGAATTGAACATAGAACATTTTGACAATCTTTCACTAGCACCCAAAGCAGCAACAAATTTTAGGATTACCTTAAAAATCAACATGTTGAACAAAGAAACCATCTTTCCAGATGCTGAGACAACATAAGAATCATTCTTGGACAAACAAAAGCACGGTGAAACTAAGTCGATGTTACTGTCGGGAAGGTCATTGATCATCAGCAACCCACTCTTTGGTTGCCACAGTTGAGGGACACACTTTGTAGTTGCCTGTTGAAGCAAATACTCAGTTACTCTTTAAACAATGACTGGCTGCTCAAATTGAAGATACAAATAAACACGCACTTGCGTACGTGCAGAGAGAGAGAGAGAGAGGGAGATTAATAATAAGTGAAATACCTTTCCGCTCAAATTAGAATCATTTTTTGACCACCTCCAAAGTAGATGAATCCCATCTTCTGCTAATGCCAAAATGCCATTACCCGCATTAGTGTATAACAACCTCCGAATCTGCGATCATCAAATGTGATACTATAAGTAACTCTTTTCTTATCTCTCTCACCCCTTTTTCCCAGATGATACGAGAGAAAAAATTAAAAATAAAGCAGTTCTAAAAGATGAATATAGTCCCATCTTCAATTAAATAAACGTTTTCATATTTCGAAGAAAAGTTAGATCAATTTATGGTCGGGAATAATTATCACAGTTGGTCCTCATATAGATAGCTATATGATTTATAGTGTGATTGCATAAAAATACATCTTATGCTATAATGATTTATGAAATTACTAACCAAAAAGTATTGCCCATTTAGTCCTCAATCCAAGTTATGGAAAGGGAGAAAAATAAAGGCTGGTACGATGATAGTTGCTATCCAGATCATCCAATTAACATAGGGATGAAAATAAACAAAGTGCAAATACTTTATACTGAGCAGGGCATGCATCTTTTGTACTAATTATAGCACTCAAAAAGTTTCATCTTCGATTTCTAAATAATTTTCCATGGAAATGAGCACAATTATTCTAAGTGTTGATAATGAACGCTAGAAGAAATAGTGATGATGAATTGAAGGTACTTTGTTCATACACTTAATGGCTGAGAATTTGATTTCACCTTGAGCAAATAGAGACGTTAGGTAACTAGAATTTTAACACGAGGTCTTTTCAGTTACCTTTTTTGTCTCGACTTTGGAAGTGAGTTGCAAGGATCGACAACGTGAAACCTCAACGATTTTAGAAATGTTCTGAATCACCAGTTTGTTACCCTGCTCCAGAGACTTTTCAGGTATTACATTTTCCAAATTACCTGGAGCTTTTTCCTGTGATAAGCAATCAATTTTCTAAATGTAAACTCACTGTTTCCAATCTAGAATGCTAGACTCTAATGGCATGTCAGGTAAGGAGGACTTAAAAGATTAGACAGTACTACTGAAGAAAAAAAAAGTCAAAATCTTTTCCATCGTATTCTTCAGTCCTGTCCAATACTGCCCACCATACATGCTCTAGAGGTACAAATTCCCTTTTTATAATATGATACTAATGAGATCTTTAAAACTGCAAATGAGCTAAAGTGTAAAATAGAACGAACTTTTTGAGGACCACTTGCCACAGGGACATCTCCATGTGCGATTCTAGCTTTAGCAGGAAGAGGAATTGAATCGACAGAAAGCTGTACAGAATAATAAACGGTAAGTAGTAGTATTTTTCTGCTGAAGAAAAACCGTAAAAGGATTTAGGTGCTGACCTTTTTCAAGGAATTCGATAGGAATTCAGAGGAATCACCGGAAACAAAGGTAAAAGTTTGAAGCAACTGATGCCCACGATGGTTGGCCAAGATTTTGATTCTATTGTGATCCGAGAAAACAGCCAGTAGAGTGCCTTCCTTGTTGAAGCAAATATATGGGCTTGCCTTGAATATCAGAATAAAGGCAGACAAGAACATCAAACAACCATTTTGTTCGGATATTAAGCT